TACAGCAGACAGGAATGAGCAGGTGACACTTCAACACACTTTGAGATGACTACACTTCTTGGATTAAGCTCCAATTTTTCAGGATTATAGCCAAGACATAGATGAACAACTTTGATGACAGTAATGAAGCCATTATATCAGAGGAAGGCCACATGCAAGAGTGAATAATGGCACACTAGAGTAAAACCAGAAAACAGAACGAAAGTGAAGACTAGTCTCACCTTGAACACGATTTGAGGTAGATAGAACTCTTCGATTGCCTTGATGTTTGGATATGTTGTAGGTCTTGAACAGAGGAACAAGTTGGATGAAGACTACTTCACCAAAAGAACCGTGGAAATAGACATGCAAGGACAAATCCGAGCTTACGCAGAAAATCAGGCTATGACGAACAGCTTGTACTCAAATTGCGTGTTAGGTAACTAATATTCTTTGATTGGGCTCAATTGTTGATATGTTCTAGTAGACAAACAGATAAACAAGTTTAAAGAAGGAAATATTTCATTTTGAGCTGAGGAGATGTGGGTTTCGAAGCAGTCAACAAAACTAACGTGAAGGAGGAGAGCTGGAGCTCTCAGCTTTGAAGAGAATGAGATGTGAAAACTTGTGTTTGTGAGAGAATTATAAATGGTTAGATTTGGGAAGGGGAGGGAATAAGTGTGGGAGTTACAAAATGATCAGATTGGGAAACTTAAGGTCCATGCGTGGAAAATCTGACTTGGGGGTATTTTAAATTTTGACTTCTCCAAAATTACGATTGTGCCACTTCGTTTCCATAGATCACAACTTCCTCGTCAAGACTCCGATTTGAGCTCACTACGTGTCTACGGACTCCTCTCGACGCGATCTACATCATGGTTCCATTCGTTTCTCCAAAATTCTTCAAGATTAAAAAGTGACCAAAATGACCTTATCCCCAGGGGCAAAATTGTAATTTTAGAATTTAAATAAATTAAATAATTGAATGAATAATTAAATTAGAGTCGAGGTGTTACATATAACCTATCGATCGTTTGATAGGTCCATAAATCCGCCAGTTTACCAAATCCGGTATTCGGTGTTTGGCACAGTATTCCATCAACTCTTTTTCTGTAACCTTATTCGGATCCAAATAATCAACTCCAAACAACGGCCTCTTCGACTGCCCCATTCATATCCTCGGATTCCTTGTACACACCACTTCGGCAGCCGGTACCGGCCTAGAAGAAGATTCGGCAACCGCTTCCACACAGCAAGATGTGGAAGTCTCCGAATGGTAACTCACATGCAGATCAGGCATTGGTGTATCCCTCATCAGACATTCACAATGTTGGCTAGTGCTGGCACACTCAACACTACATGGAACAGTAGCCAACGACAGTGCACCTATTGTCGTCTTCAAATTTTCTTGGTCGATTGAAGGCACTAGTAGATCCCTATCCTCCACATTTTCAAGTTCATGCCCTTCATCATCGACACCCTCACTTACAACACTATCAATTTCAAGTACTTCATTATCGATACCTCGCTCATCGTTCGATGATTCTCCATCGAACGCTGCAAGTTCACTCTCATATTCTGACTCGCTCTTTGGAATCTACAAACAGAAATGAAAAGGAAACTAAATGTCATGCAAGATCAAACTAAGGTTTCCTACGGCCATCGCCACCTATGAATATGTCCTACCGAATGTTCTTCATGTTCATCCATGATTCTTCGTTCATTTCAAGCCAAAAAAACACGTTTGATTGACAAAGATTAAAGAAAAAAAGGGCTTTTTGCTTTCACGAAGGAGGAAATTGCTTCGCCGTATGCTCAGCCACCAGAAATCGCCTTTCCTTCGGCTAACTAGTCATCGAAAATTGCCTATCTTGCAGCTCAAAAATCTCTCTCAAATGCCAAGTGATTTTTCAAACACAAGCCACCTCCTTTTATACCGAAGATCCAAAGGGCTCACCTCGGTTACACCAACTGACGCTATCATTACTACACCTGCAACACGGGGCTCTAGATACGTGGCCCATTGGGATTCGGGATAACTAGCACACTAGACATAGAATACTAAGTGTCATGTTATGCCCCCATAGGCACACAATGTGCGGCCAACATCTAGCATCATTTGACGATCACATCACCATATCGTTTGATAAAATGCCTCTATTTCCCCAGGCCAAGCCCAGTTACACGATGCCGTTTGGCCTGTCACTTTTACCGTTAGGCACTATTGCCCTAAGCCCTTTCCTTTGCAAGGCCTCCTTTAGAGACTTGGGGGACTAGGATAGAGCCATTAGCAGCAAGATGAGTCTGTCTCATCATCCTCGTGGCAAATATCAATCGGTCAGAATGTCGAAGACAAGAACAAGTCCCCAACCAAGAAGTCCTTAATCGAAAACTTTGGGGACTCCTATTTATACCGTATCTGATAAGCCAATAAGAGAAAAACAAGTAGAACAATGGACCCACAAGGAGAGCCCACTAAGCTTGACAATCTATTACGTCCCACAAAGTACAGTCGGCAGGTCCAGAGCCTTCGACACCTTGGCCTGCCGATCATGGCTAAAGACCACGCTTCACTAAATGGTTTCTCAGGCAATACCTACAGTCTCACATCGAAATCTTGCTCAAGATGCACGCCTCCCAAAATCTATAAATAAGGGCATAAACCCCTAAAAATAAGGTAACTGTTACATTCGGCTACTTAGCCAATACTATGTCCAGATCACTGTTCACGCCGTACTTAATATTAACTTGAGCATCGAAGAGCCTTCGGCAGGTACCACACAGGTTCCCAAGGTCTCATTGCTCGTTCTTTGTTTCGCAGTTCGCTTCGCTTGCCGAAGAACTCACAGTGCCAAAGATGACATCATCACTAAGTTGTACCCAAAAGTGTCCGATTATTTTTGTGCATCAACATGAAGTTTGGCAAGATGGCAGCTAAAATTAGCTAAAAGTCCCAACAAGGCAAGCGAGGCCCAAACCCAACAAAGAAAACAGGCCCAACACAAGAAAGACAAAGTCTTGGTTCGTGGAGTCATTCTATAGTGAGTGCCTTATCTATGACCTTTAGGTGAAGTTCTATCTCTTAACTGTTGGAGCATACTAACCAATTTGTGATTTAGAAAATAGTTGAGAACACGAAAGCCCGTTTTACTTCTTTATGAGGGAAACTCATATTATAGATTTTGGGTGTGCCAATGATATGTTTTGCACACCCAAACCTACAATACTTGAGGTTCCGACATCACCGAGTCTATGTCAAGGACTGTGGTGGTGGAGGTGCTGGGTGTTGTTTTGGTTTTGAGGGAGGAGAGAAGGAGATGTAAGCAAAGAGGGTGGTGATCTCGGTAGGTGTTGTTGAGAAAGAGATAGAACTCCGAAGAAAAGATGAGGTAATCGTTTACGAATTATCCATTATTTTATGGACATTATCAATTATGACTCAAACAAACAACTTTCCACCTGCTGACCTTAATCATGTTTAAGTTTTATTGGTCAGGTTAATCACAGTTTTAACTAGTTTCTAGTTCCTCTATTAAAAACAAAGAAGAAAAAAAAAAGAATTTTTCTATTTAAACCCCACACTTTTCTTTGTTCACCCCAATACTTAAATTATTAAGCTCTTAAATTTTATTATTGTGTAAAAAGAAAAAAAAAGGTCTTCCAACTTAATACTTAACCCTAGTACATCTATACACACACCTCACCACTCTTCATATTAAGTTTTAGAAAAACACAAACTCCTCTACACCCTACTGCCATATTACTCTTATCTTTCAATCCAAGAAACCTACTACACTCTCATCTTCTCTTCACAAAAACATTTGACAACAGTGTTTTTATCTCTTTAAGTAATGTGAGGTTGAAATGAACTTAGAGTGGTGAGGGGCAAAATAGCGGGGCGTCAAGTGTGGGGTGTAGGGTGTGAGGTTGATGAGTTTTTTATTTTTATTTATTTTTTCTAATGGGTGTATATTTAGGGGTAGTTCGGGAAGATAGTGGGATTTTCTTAGAAATTGTGTAAATTTGAATTAGAAGTTGGGGTGAACTTAGAATATAAGATAAATAAAGAGAAGTGCAGGGTTTAAATAAAAAAACTAGTTTGTAACGGGCATGTTCCGCTATGAATCGGTCAAAAATATGAAATTATTATATTAACAGAATAAATTGATGGGGGTCTCAAGTCAAGTTAGGAGACTTTGAATTTTGCAACGATGGGAGAGATACAACTTACAAGTAAAAGTGAGTGGGCTCAGAATGTGCCAGTAGTGACAGATTCAATTCAACCTTTCTCCGTCTGTTTTCTTTTGATCATTATCTTGGCTTCTTCTTCTAATGAACATTGTTTCTTTCTTGACTAAATGCTTTTGACCTTCAGCAGCCCACAATTTAAGCTTGCTCACTCATGACTAATATTGATAGTAACTCTCATGGTATGAGGTCACCATTTATGACTTTTCAATTTTATTTTTTTAATGGGAGATTGCCCAAATATTCCACCACCAAAATTATTATTATTTTTTTTTATAAAAAAAAAAGGTGGCTGGTGAAAATGTGGGCATAAATATTATATATAATATTATAATATTTATTTATATAGTAATATTATATATTTATAATTATTTTATTATTTTATGGAAGATCATACAAAATACATGTGGGAAAGGAAGACAAACTAAGTCATTTTTTAAACTGGCCTGATATTTTGGACTTGATAGTGATCCAATTGGGGGCTATTCACGCAATATAGGACTGAACATGCAAAATAATAATGCCAAAAAATATTCTATATATTGTAGCCTACATTGTTGAAGAAAACATTTAAGTGTGGCCTACACTTGTCTACTTCTACATTCAAATAACATTCATGTTCCACTTGACTGAATGAGAAGATATAAAAAATAATATTTTCTCGGTCTTCTTCGGCTGCTCCTCTCCTTATTTCTTTTAGTCAAGCTTTGCTTTATTTTCAATTTTTTGTATATTTTTTAAGAGAAAATTCGCACAAGCATTTACTATATAAACCGAAGAGAGCTACGGGACATCCAAGCTAGAATTGCCTCTTGGGTTTTGGCTCATCGCATTTACCCGAAAGAAGAAGAAAGAAAGAAAGAAAGAAGCTAGAAAAATGAGTTGGTTCGGAATCGGAATAACGCCAGTAATCACTGTTTCATGCATGCTGCTTGTGTTCCTTATAGCTCTCATCAGGCTATTTTACAAACAATGGTGGACCCCAAACTGCTTCCAGAAATTCATGTATCTCCAGGGAGTCAAAGGCCCTTCTTACACATTTGTCCATGGAAACACCAAAGAAATCATGAGCATGAAGAAGGAAGCTATGAGCAGGCCCAGAAGCTTATCACATGACATATTCTCTGCCGTTCAACCTCATACTCACAAATGGTCCAAGATATTTGGTACGTCTTTACAAACTCTTCATTAATATTCTTATGATTTTACATCGTTGCCACTAGACTTCATATTTTATTTATAAAATTTCAAGTATTTCATTAACTGCCATAATTTTAATTAATACTCCCTATTAATAGCATATCAATCACCCCATTTCTTTTGGTTGTCATTCCCTCTAACTTATCGGCCCTAAAATTGCAAACCAAAAAACAAAACAAAAAATCTGCAAATTACATATCCAATAATGTACCTATGAAAAATATAAATATAAATATATACCTATAAAAATATAGGTATATTATTTAAATAAAATATAGGTACATTTTTCGGCCAACACATTGTTGACCGTGTTGATGAATTTTAATAATAAAATGGATAATTAATCGCAGACAAAATTTTTAGAGGGAACACCACAATAATTGGGGACCAAAAATTAAAACACCACCCCATAGCCATGGGTTTTTACTTATAAAAATTGTGTATTATTTATAGGAGCAAAATTGAAGGGTTGTAGGTAAGGTAAGGTAAGTTGAATTTGAAGGGTGTAAGCCAAATTTACTATATTTTATATAATCTTATATCAGTTCAAAGATAATTAAATTCCCTAATTTTGTTGCAACAGGGAGGAATTTTCTTCAGTGGTATGGCATTCAACCTCAGTTGGTCGTTGCAGAACCTGAGTTGTCGAAAGAGGTAATGAACAACAAAGATAGAATCTTCCGAAAACAAAAGTCCCAAGGCTATACGAAGAAGATATTAGGGGAGAGCATTTCCATGTCAGAAGGTGAAAAATGGGTCAAGTTAAGAAGGCTCGCCAACCATGCCTTCCATGGAGAGAGCTTAAAAGTAAGTTCTTCTTTACAGTTGTTTATAGACTTATTTATTATAGTGCTCTATGGTCAAATTTCATTTTATTCTTGAAAGTTAAATTAGGTCTCACTTTACCGCATGTCGTTAAGTCCATCAAAAAATTTGTTGAAAATACTGATATGACACAAGTGGAACCAACTCTTTTATTGAAATGGATACACGTAAGTGACATGTGTGAAAAAAAATCAATCAATATTTTGTTTATAAAAGAAATTTACTTCTCTCCTCCACCAAGTGGGACTCCCTTGGGGCCCAGTGCCGAAACGAGACGATGAGGAAGAAGAGGGCGGCAGGAATTGGCTCCATTTCAGACCCTCGTCGTCGTAAAGGTCATAGATCTGGAGCTTGGCGTGGTCGCTGAGGACGTCGTAGGCCTCGGAGATTTGCTTGAACTTGGTGGGGTAGGGATCGTCGTGTACAGAGAAAGAAAGAGGGAGAGGAGAGAAGCAATTTTTTTTATTTTTATTTTTTGGTGAAAAGGAGAGAAGCAATTTCTTTCCTTTTTTCCTATTTGTTAATTTTTTATATTTATAAATAAAGTATTTTATTGATTTTTTGCAGAGCACTTATGTGTCATCCATTTTTATCAAAGAATGGGTCCACTTGTGCCATGTCATCATTTTTAACAAATTTTTTAACGGACTTGACGACATGGATAAAGTGAGACGTTGGTTAAACTATGTTTATATATATACCAGTAGTTATGTCATTTGTTAATGAGACATATATATATATATATATTCCCATTATTATATTGAATGTAAATTTGCTAATTGACTGCATGATGATCTTGTGTTACCAGAGTATGATTCCAGAAATGATAACTAGCTCTGAGACAATGCTAGAAAGGTGGGTAAACCATGAAGGCAAGGAGTTGGAGGTGTATGAAGAATTTAGGTTGTTCACCTCAGAAGTTATTTCCAGGACAGCATTTGGCACCAGCTACTTAGACGGGAAGAACATTTTTGAAATGTTGGGGAAGTTGACCTTCCTTATATTCAAAAATAATTTCAGACTCAGACTTCCTATCATCAGGTAGCTTCTTTTAACTAAATGATCCTAAAGAATCAACGATGGTTGTTTTAGCTGTGGAATATTTTCTCTTCACAACAATAGTGTTGGAGTTGTCACTCATGTTTAGTCTTTTGTTCAAAATTTGCAGTCGGTTTTACAAACCCCGTGATGAGATCGAGATGGAGAAGCTTGAGAAAGGAGTACGCGACACCATAGCAGGGATTGTTAGGAAAAGAGAAAGCAAAGCAATGACTGGAGAAGCTGACGGGTTTGGGCGTGATTTTCTTGGAGTACTTTTGAAGGCTCATCATGATACCGATGAAAACCAGAGGATTTCCATAGATGAAATCGTTGATGAATGCAAAACGTTTTACTTTGCTGGACAAGAAACCACTAATTCTTTGCTTGCTTGGACCATCTTTCTTCTTGCACTCAATACGGATTGGCAAGAGGAAGCAAGAAAGGAGGTCCTGCAATTATTTGGAAAAGAAAATCCAAACCCTGATGGCCTTAACAAACTAAAAACGGTAAGAAACTCAATCAGTTAATTGCTAACTTACATATCTAATCAGTGGTTAAGTTTTGAAATCCTCATTTAATTTATTGTCATCTAATTTTTCATTTGGATGCATGCATATGCAGATGAGTATGATCTTCAATGAATCTCTAAGGCTATATCCTCCAGTCGTTTCACTTATTAGGGAAACAGAAAAGGAAGTAAGGCTGGGAAAGATGGTTGTTCCGGCTAATGTTGAAGTGCACGTCCCAAATCTGTCACTTCATCACGATCCCAAATATTGGGGAGAAGATGTGAACGTTTTCAAACCAGAGAGATTCTCAGAAGGGGTTGCTAAAGCTACTAACAACAACATAGTCGCATTCATGCCCTTTGGATTGGGACCTCGAACTTGTGTGGGCATGAACTTCGCGATTGTCGAATCAAAGATTGCTCTGGCAATGATTCTACAGCGCTACAGCTTCACCCTTTCCCCTGGTTATGTCCACTCGCCGATTCAGTTTATGACAGTTCGCCCACAGCATGGAATTCCTGTCATACTACACTCACTGTGAACCGTCAAGTTTTTTTTTTGTCAAAATAATACTGTTGACTAAATGAGCATCTTCTAAATGATGTTCTCTAAAAACTTCAATGCTTTAAAGCCCATCAGGGAAATAAGGTTCAATTAGAAACATAATTTTTTTATTTAAAAAAAAAAAAAAAACATCGGTACCCAGTTCAGTACGTTATTGTAAAGCATGTTCTGCATTAGTTTGTGGCTTGCTGTAGATAATTCTCCAAACTTCAATTGCTTTTGTTTCACCGCCTTAGAACATCACCACATCAAGCGACAAGTCTTGTTCTAGATTATTCTTCATTCTTCACTTTCATTTGACGACATATAGTCCAATGTTTCCAGCAACTATCTTTTGTAGATTACTCTTTGTAATCTTCATTCATTTGTGTGGCTATTGTTTAGCATGTTATAAAAAGAGTGCTGCTATTTCCACCTCCTTGTCTTATTTTTCCACCCACTTTATCTTCAAAATTTTAAAGACAAATTTATCCTTTTATAAAATCACTTCTAAGGATTTAGGAAAAAAAATATATTTAATATTTAATATGAAGTTAAAAATAATGAACTTAAATGTAAAATTTAAATATTTCAAAAAAAAACTTTAACAAAGGGAAAAGCTTTAAAATTAAAAATTCATCTCCAGCTTTTCATAAAAATAAAAAATCATCCCCAGACCTCACCTTCTTCCCTAATCCGTCTCCTTTCTCTCTCTTCGAATAAACCCACTTATCCCTAACATCCCTCTCCAAACCCTAGCACCCCACCATCTCCTCACAGCCACCCACCCCCACCCTACCCCCTAGTGTCACCGCCACTGGCGGACCCAGGAATTTTTTAGAGGAGGTGCAATGTTTTGACCAGTGTATATAATCATGTTTTAAAAAGTATAGTTCACTCAAATAAAGCTACACAAGATTTTCCTTCTTCATGAGTCATGACTCATAATGAATATTCTTCTTCATTCAAAATTAATATTCAATTATATATGTACTGGAAAAATTAATATTCAATTTCCCATGACAATTCTCCATGGGGTCCAAATTCTGCATAATCTTCTTGAGTTCATATGGATGCACTCCACCACTCCAAACATCTCTCTCGGTTAATTCAGATGGGAGCCAATTGAAATTTTAAATTTCAAGTTATTAACAAATATAGATGGATAGAGAGAGGGAACAAATTAATGAATTGTGGTTTGTGGGGACAGCTGATGGCATATGGTGGCAGAGCGACATTGAATTGACCAGGTTGACGAACTACACAGGCCCAGTGGGCCACAGGGAAAACATGCCTACCCACGGCTCCACAGAAAACCACAGCCCTTGTTCTTCTTCTTCATCTTTTTTTCTCCCTATCCCAAAACGACCACGTTTTGGCCAAGATTTTGAAAAAATAAATAAAACAGATGCGCGCTGCACTCAGCAGTGCAGCAAAGAACAGAAAAGAACAGGTTGCTCAGTCATTTAATCAAACACTTGGTGGGCAACGTCAAGACAGACCAAATGGGCAACTTCCGGCGACTCCAAAGCTTTTTCCGGCGAGGGGAGGTGCAGCTGCACCTCCTTGCGCCTCTGTAGGTCCGCCACTGGTCACCGCCACCCACCCCCCACCCCAACCCTCTCCTTACTAACCCGACCTCAGCCTCTCTCTCTCTGTGCAAGTTCTTGTTACCCGCTGTTGGATTTTTTGTTTTGATCAAAGTGGGCTTTCATTAACGAAGAGGACAAACAAATCGTACAATGCTAAACTTCTAGAAAGGAAAACCATGCGAGCACTAACACCAACAAAAAACAAGTAAAACTAAAGTACAAAGAAACTAAAATGCAATGAAACAAATTTGTTACCCGCCATTGGATTTGTGATGCAATGTTTATGGTTTTCAACTCTTCCCAAATTTGAAGTTAGTTTCAATTCCTCAGTTTTTATCTACACAGACAACTCCCAAACTCGTGTTATGTATTTAAATTCATACATTGATTATGGATGATTTACAAAAACGATGGTGGTATGCACCATAAAGGGTATTTTAGGAATAATGGTGGGTGGAAAAATAGGATTATGTTTTTTCAAATTTATATGGTGGGTAGGAAAATAAAACAGGTGGGTGGAAATAGCAGCACTTTATAAAAATTGTAGTTCTTGTCTTTCCGTAAAAGTCAAAATCAAAACCAAGAAAGGCATGACAGTCTTTGGGTGTATTTCATACACAATTTAATATATATATATATAATAAATTGAAAACTCTTTTAAGGTAAAGTAAAATTAAATAAACAAATAATAGGTAAATAAAAGTAAAATAATTTAGATTATGAAAGCAAGCCTAGCATAGTGAAGCACGTCAAAGATGTTGTCATAAAGCCTTTGTAGCCTCCATATGTGCATGTATTGATGGTCTACAAGACTCTAAAATACGACCCCCATCTGGAGCACCATCAAACGAACTGGCCACCTTTTGACTGTGAGCTGACCCTTTTGATCATAGATTCATAGTGACAGCACTTTGTAGTTTGTTATGAAATATGTAATATGTAATTTTTTTAGTGGGTTATTTACTCAAATGATCCTCAAATCAAGTTGTACATTTACCTGCTGCTATCTGTTTCAACATTGAGTTTTCTTAATCCAAATTATAATAATAGTTAATTTCCATGAGGTAATCATTTATGAATAATTATCTTTCAATTATGACACAAACAATGCACCTGTTGATCTCATGTTTAATTTTTTTGGGTCAGATTAATCATATTAAATTAGTTTCTAGTTGTAACGCGCGCATATTATTGGTCAACAATTATAAAATTTGTTAACTAAATAAATTGATGGGTCTACCGTCTACGACCGCCAAGTAAATTGATGGGTCTGCCGTGTACGTACGACCGCCAAGTAAATTTGATGGGTCTACCGTCTACACCGCACAATTGCCGGGTCTAAATGGAAGTACATATACAGCCAATTAAACATGAATTGACTCCTGAATCGCAAAAAAAACCAAAAACCAAAAACCAAACATGAATTGACTCGGAATGCCAGCAGTGACTGATTCAACCTTTCTGTGTCTGTTTCTCCCTTCAGCACTCCACAATTTAAATATGCTCACTCCTGATTATTGATAATAATATATTTCCCACGTCAATGGTATGAGTTAGTGATGTATGAATTTTTAATTGTTTTTATGCTATTATCAATCAGGGCACAACTAATCCGCCGGCAATTTATACCTTAATCAGTTTGGAAAAAAAAAAGTGAAAAAAAAAGACGTCATTAGTTCATAATTTAATAATACTAAAGAGGTCAACTGCGCTGCTTGAATTAAGGTTTAAAATATTGATAATATTGACAAAATATCGATGATATTATTGTTTTTTCGGATCTAGGATATTTTGGAACATATTCATACACGTATCATATAATTGTTGATAATATCGGAAAGGCTTATTATCACAAAAGGTCCCTAAGGTTTACGAAACTATCAGATTGCATCCTTAATGTTTTTTTGTGTCACTTATGG